TCTTATATTAAGCTTTTAAGAGAAGACCTAATTTTTGAAATATTTTTTTTTTAAATTGTTTAGCTCTTGCTACTTTTACAGAAAGTGAACGAAAAGACCTATGTCTTTTTTTTAAACGCCGATTCTCTCATTTTAATTTATTATTTTTTAATTTTAATTCACTAATAGTATGATTATGCTTATAAAAACTATTGTTTACAAACTCACATGCTTTTTTTGTAAATAGGTAGAAAATATTTTTCCTTTATGTTCTTCTTGAGAATAAGTCATCGTTTGAAGAAGTTCAAATGCGTTAAAAATTTGGTTATCAAGTAAATTTAAAAGATGTATAAGCATATCGTTTCGTCTTATTTGAATACAAGTGTTCATCTTTCGAGATTCGATTATATTTTTTATAATATAACTGAAATCTTCATCATCCAATTTTTCGAAAATTGAAATTAGGTGATCAAACAATTCATCTCGTTGTTCATATTTTCGATTACTTCTACAGGTTTGTAGTTGCTTATTTCGTAAGTTTAGTCGACCTATTAAAATAACACTTTGTAATGTATACGCTTTCTATAAAAGTGTCTAAGTTTATTATTTTAGATTGGGATTTGTGATGTATGATGGTCTTGTTATATTTGGGATTGAGAATTAAAAAAATTTATGCTTAGACTAGAAGATTCGGGTATGTATTTGAAAATTTTTTGAGTAAAGTAAATATGGTTATATATATCTAATTTAACTTTTATATCTATTTATCAGATGGATCTTTTAAGAAGCGTGATAGATTTAATGATTATACACAGGTTAGTTACGGGAATGGCTTTTTATTTAGATATATTTTTTGCTAGATGAGTGCAATTAATTCTCCATCGCAACGAACTTATGTCTTTTTAAATATTTTGCAACTGATTGAAATCAAATAATTAGGATCAAGAAATCACAATTATCAAATCATTGGATCAATGTTTTATTTTAAAAAGATGGGAATAATACGAACAGATGCAGAAAACTAGTTTTGCTTGCTTGATATTGTCATAGCATGCTTTTATTATATGGATATTTGTTTATGTCTAAATTTTTGTAAATGCAATGCGTATTTCTATTCAATAAAATTACTTATTATTACATGTAATTCTATCATGAAATAAAACACAAATTGTCTTTCTTCGAATAAAGATAAAATAATGAAACTTTTTTTAAATATTATTTTTATTTTATTAAGAATTACTATTCTGTATTCGACTTATATTAAACTTCTAAACTTATTTATATCAAATAAAATCGGACAAAGCAAATTTTTATTTTAATTAGCTAAAAATATTGATAGTTTTTTGAATCGTATTACAGTATTATAAAAATGATGCGAAGTGTAATTAAAACGAACGAATAATCAACATTTTTGAAAAAAATAATAGTGAATGATATTTAATCAGGTATAATAGAATCTAAGAATGTTCTCTGATTCTTGATAGTCCTCCAGAATGTATTATAAAAAATCGGGTAAATGAGCGAAACTTAATTTGATCAAATAAATAATTACTCTAGCATTTTTGGAAAAAAGGGTAGAGAATGAAATCTCAAATCGCCTGTTTTAATAGTGCTTAATCGTAAGTATTGTTTATTAAAAATATGGCAATTCACTATTATAGTAATTCAAAAACTTCTATAGTGATTTTTTAAGTAAAGGTTTTTTGTTAATCAATTAGAAATTGGTTTAGTATATTTTCTATATTTAGATCTCAATGCGAGACATTAACGTTAAATAAATAATCGTATATATAAATTTGGAAAAAATACAGTAATAATTTCTAATGCTAATAAATGGATACAAAAAATCTTTCATATCAATATGCATTAATGACTCCTAAATAGTTGCGCATTGATGTTAATAACAATTCCTACAACGTAACGCAGAAAATTCTTCATAGATATTCTAAATAGACTATATTGATATCTACATACTTTCTATATTCGTACCAACAAGATTAAAAAATATAATACAGTACTGACCGTATTCAAACAATAAAAACAACACCAAAAATGGTAAGTAGCATTAAGAACGTAACAGATCTCAAAATTTGAATAATAAGAACTTTAACAGACCCTTCGAGTTCCTTCTGTAGTGTAAACTAGTCTTAAACATATTGAGTTAGATGAAGTAAAAAAATTGATTCTCTTACGGAATTCTTGTTTGATATAGACCTATTATTAACCATGATTAAACAATTAAAATTTTTTAAAATAATTAAAAATTCTGCAAGTTCAAATCGTGCAATTGCAGAAGATATTATTATAATAATATCTGCAATATTGAATTTAATTGCATGATTTAAAATAGGGATTGAATCCAGAACAGCTGTATTATAGTAAATTACCTAGATAACTCGGGCAATTTGATAATACTGAGTAAGAATTTTCTCAAAGGGTCCAATCCCTATTTTTAAAATCATAAAAATGTATATAAGCAAATTACTTTTCTTCTCTCTTTTATTAATTTACCTATATCCAATATCATGTTCAGAATCTTAATAATGTCGACATTACCTTACCTAATTACTGATTCTTTAGAAGAATTCTCCTATGAAAATGCCCAGTGTTCTCTTCAAAAAAAAGAAAAAACAGAAAAATGTAACGAACCCAATAATTCCAAAGGAAAACAATTAAAAAAACAAAAGCTTGAATCAGTTCATAAATACCTCAATGAGCTTAGTGATGAACTCGAAACTTCCAAGTTCAGCAAGCGATGCAAAGAGGATGCGTCAGTTTCACCTGCAATACATCATTTTGATATAAAATATCCGTACCTCTATAAAGACTCCTCACAAGCCAATAAAATTTTTTATTTAGCTATTGAACCGCACTGTATTGAGTCTTTGAATCACGATTTAATGCGGTGGATTGTTATTAACAAACAACCATTTTCAATGGTTGAAGAGGAGTCTTTTATAAAATTTGTCTCAAATCTTAATCCATATTACAAGATTCCTTGTTGCCAAATCTTCTCCGTGAATGTAAAAATCTATTTTGACTTAGCAAAAGTAAAAATTAAAGAAACCTTAAAAAACAATAAAAATAAATTAGCACTTTCTTTAAAAGTTTGGACAGCATATACACTACAACATTTTCTTGTAATTACTGTAAATTGGATTGACACCAACTGGGAAAAGAAAACTCATCTTCTCGACTTCATTCCCTTACCCGAAGCCTATACAGAAAAATACATTGCCGAAAAAATTCTTGAGCTCGTTAAAGATATAGGAATAAAGAAACAAATAATTAGCTTTACAAGTGACAATGTAGTAAATAATTTGAGCAACCCAATCTGTCTAGATTTTCTTCAAAGAACTATAAATTCTAACCTTAAGTATGTGCACTGCGTTGCACATAGTATTAGTCTCATTGCTGAAGCTAGGCAAAAAAAATATTTTAGTCAAATTCAGAAGGTTCGGAATTTCTGTAATAAAATAATTTTACCTTCGGTTCTTGAGGAAATGAAAAGAATTTCTGCTATCCTAGAGTGTCCGTTCCATCATCCTTTAACTGATGTTGAGACAAAATGGACTTCCACCTATTCGATAGTTGAGAGGCTCCATCAAATCCGATCCATTACTGATAGCCTTATTATATCCTGCCCGAGTTTAAAAAACGATTATTTAGAAGTTGACGATTGAGTAATTATAAAAGAAATGATTCAGCTTCTCAACCCATTTCATACAGCAGCTTTAGTCCTTTCAAGTACTTCGCAACCCTCCCATGGGTCCTCACGATTAATTATTTTAGTCCTTTCAATGCATCTTAATCAATATACTTTGATTAATACACACGGCGAAGCAGCAAAAGAAATGAAGGATAAATTACAGGAATACTGGACTTATCTTTCAAAGTCTTCTGTTATTTCAACCATTCTTAACCCGTCGACTAAATTAGAAACACTTTATGAAACTGATCATAAATTAGCCATTATTCAGTTAAAAGCTCTATATTCATCATATAAAACAAATAATTCAAAAACGGTTACTAGGCCTAAAGATCTATTAGAAATTTTTCGAACACTTATGAATTCAAGCAAAAATAGAAAGGAAAGTGAACCGGAAATAGATGAGCTAAGTGCTTACCTTTCTCTGCCACACGAGCCAGAAACAGATCCATATTCATGGTGGAAAGTACATACAAAACAGTTTCCAGTAGTCTCTTCTATTGCAGCAGACCATTTTGCTCTGCAAGCATCGAACATTCCTTGTGATCGTACTTTTTCAGTTATAAAGGATACCATTAATCTTAACCTTGCTATTGGTGATCTTGAGGAAACAGTTAAAATTTCATTACTTTTAAAAAATTGGTTCAAGGCAAAGATTATTGAATAGAAGTTATCGTATCTTTGTACACTCCCTTGCTAGTGATCACCATAATTTTATAATTACACAATATCGATCATTTTTTTTACAAGTTTTTACGACTGCAATTTCTCGACAACCTACTTAATAATTTGGATCAATTTTTTTTTATTTAATAATAAAAATAAAAAACTTTTATTTACACCAAAATAATAAAAACTAAAATAAAGTTAACTTATTTTAAAGAATTTTATTATTTGATACAAATACATTATGATACACACTATAAGATTCTGTATAATGTGAAATTAAAACAAATTAACAATACATTAATTTAGAGTAAAGGTCAGCACTAATGTAGAGTTAGATTAGCTTGTAGGTAAGTACTAGTTATACCCAAAATTTTGCAAGAAAATTTTTTTATTAGAATGCAAAAGTGGTTTAATATGCAATATTATAAGTTACAAGCATTTTTTCAAAATATCACTATTTTTTTTGATTTTACATTACAACCTGATCTTACAATCTGATTGGTCAGTTAGGTGGGTGCGTTACAATGCACATGTGCTAAATTATATAACTCTATTTTAAAAATATTTAAATAATGTGATTAAATATAAAATTAGAATTATATTGAAGTATTTAAATAAAACTGATTTATTTTAAAATAATTAAACAATTTAGAATTAGTTTAATCTTTCAAGTTAATTTATTATTATTTGTATATTGATGCAACTTATAATAAAATTTGTAGATTGCTATATATCTGATAGTTTGAATGAAATTGATTTTATTTGATATTCAATTTCTCTGCAATCATCTGATCAAATTCTACAAAAATTTTTTATTTGAATTTTAAGTATCTATAGATTTTAAATAAATAAAAATTTATTAAATTTGATTAGATTGATTCTGAGATATTATTACTCAAAGTTTTTAAAATATCAAAACAATGAACAAAAATATAACTATACTAATCTTTTCTAAAGTATTAAGCTAAGATTTCTTAACAACTATCTAATCAAATTTGATGAATTTTTTTTATTTGAATTGTATAAATTTGAATAAAAAAATTTTATTGAATTTGATTTGATATTTGCTATAAAATCACATACAATCATATAAGTCAAATACAATCAAATTTAATCAACAATTAGATATACAATGATCACAAATTTAATTATGAGTTGTATTAATATGCAAATAGTGATAAATTTAACTATATCATTTATTCTTAAAATAAATTAAAATATATTAAAATATTTTGTTATTTATCGATTAGCTTGAAATAAATATTTTCAGTATTAAATGATATAACAATAATGCAATTCTATAGTTAAAATTAAATTATTTTGATATATTTTGAACTTTTTAAAATACAGTAATTGCCTGACTTTTATTATTGTGAAGTAATTTCAATATTTAGAAGATTAAAGTGGGGATCAACAGATTAATATAATATTAATTATAAATAGGAATAATTATTAATCTATGCATTATAGCATTATAACAATTATCTGCTATGTATATGTATAGCTCACTTTATAGTTTTATAAATTAATTTAAATTATATTAGTCAAATTCGCAAGATTTTATTTTATTTGATTCGTCTTGATAAGATATATCAAGTAGTATAAGAATCATTAGACTATAGTTAATAAACTAAGGTTTAAATTCAATATTATATTAACTGCTATATTATTTATTTTATTAAAATACTTTTTTATTTTATATAAAATAAAAATTAACAAAATATAAAAAATATAAAAACAAATATATAAAAAAAACCCCAATAATATATATATATTTAAAAAAACAATTTAAAAATAATTAAAAATTTTTAATTATTCTTTGTGACTACTAGTATTATCAGAAAAAGATTATAAAAGTAGAATAATTAGAGATATTATAGTTGAAGTAGTAAGAATATCTTGAGAAATTGCAAGCTGATTCAAAATATTTTGAGCAATATTAAAAATATGTGAATTATGAAGAAAGTCAGGATCAGAAACTAGAATAGTGGTAGCTTTTGTATATTTGCTTTTTCTGTTTAGTCTGAATAGTTTTGTCACTTTTCTTCTTTTTCGAAC